TTTTTTTGGCCAAGTTATAGCGAAAAAAACTGTTCAAAATTGATGACGTCAAATTTTCAAACTCAATTTTTAGCAATTCTAGACCTCGTAGCGCAAAACAAAGACCACAATTAATTAGACTCCCCGTGACGAGCTGCATCGAATCAATGCCCATTTTATGCAAAACTATCAATTTTGAAATTTGACCTTTTTTACCTGATCTTGACCTGACCTCCACCAAAAAATGACCTAAACTGTACCTGATGGTCTAATAACCAACATCATTGAGTTGGAAATGAAAAATTGGCCATTAAACATGCATCGCACAACCTTCAGGTCACCAAGGGTCACCACATGAACCCAACTTTACTGACCTGTGACCTGACCTGGTATGACCAGTGACCTGTTATAGCAACATATGTACTAGACACCTGACGCCCTATCGCTGATTTTCGACAAAATGCGTTTTCCTCGGTGTTATAGCGCTTTCCCTAGAAGATCCGTGAACGGTGAAACATTTTATCTTTGACCTGACCTGTGACGTCATCGGTGACCCCGAGGTCAATGAAATTTGCTTATTCTCGACAAATTTGACAGGGCTATCGAACGCCGTTTCAATTTTCCGGATCCGTCCAGTAGTTTCGGAGATACGGGGAAGGGCAAAAAATGCCCCCCCCCCCACCGCGCGGAAGGTGGCCGGGAGGCGGCCCCCGCCGAAGTTAGTTGGTAGCACTGCTGCTCCACGGCGTACATTTCCTACCAGCCCATAGGGTTTACATGTTAAATGGCCTGTTTTCAGCGAGCGATATCTCGGTCAACCTTTGAAGGAATCAATGGTTCTTAGTCTCAAATGATAGATCGATGAATTTTCTTTCGACAATTCCTCTACCATTTTTCACGAAACCCAGCCGATCTTCTACGGCGTACAGGGTAAAGATTTCTCTGCACGCCAGCACCCACGATCCGCCTCTCCGATCGTCGGCGCGCGGTCCTCGGTAGCGCAGTCGGTAGCGTATCGGGCTACGGATCCGAGGGTCGTGAGTTCGAATCCTGGGAGCGCCGCGTGATTTCGGCTAGAATCGAATGATGTAGATTCTTGAATGTTTGCATAATCAATTATGAATAGCTAATAGAATGTATCTGCCCACTAATCGGCCCCTAAAACCTGTTATTTTAGAAATTTAAGAAATGAATGTCACGTGCGCGTCACAACTGCCGACCATAAGCGCTACCATATTCTAGTTTGAACTAACTTTTTGCTAGTCCCGACCACATATAGTAGGTTTTCTAGTAGATATACTAGAAATGCCTACCAAAGTTCGTCCTACCCGTCACTCAATATGGGGGGACCATCAAAGCGTCCAAAACCGCAGCATCCAAAGTACGCAACATCCAAAACCGCAGCACCCAAAGTACGCAACATCCAAAACCGCAGCGTCCAAAGTACGCAACGTCCAAAATACGTCCAAAATCGGGTTTATAGGGGGCATTCACAAAGTCCAAAACCGAAACATCCAAAACCGCAACATCCAAAACGTATAATCCAAAAACGCAACATCCAAGGACGCAGCATCCAAAGTACGCAACATCCAAAGTACGCAACATCCAAAGTACGCAACATCCAAAGTACGCAACATCCAAAGTACGCAACATCCAAAACCGTTAGGTTAGGTTAGGTTAGGCTAGGTTAGGTTAGGTTAGGCTAGGTTAGGTTAGGTTAGGTTTCCTTATCCCCGGTAGGCATTAATCAGTAGGTTAGGTTAGGTTAGGTTAGGTTAGGTTAGGTTAGGTTAGGTTAGGTTGGGTTTCCTTATCCCCGGTAGGCAAAAATCAGTAGGTTAGGTTAGGTTAGGTTAGGTTGGGTTAGGGATAGGCAAAAATCAGTAGGTTAGGTTAGATTAGGTTAGGTTGGGTTAGGGATAGGCAAAAATCAGGTTAGGTTCGGTTCGGTTAGGTTAGGTTAGGTTAGGTTGGTTTTGGATGTTGCGTGCCTTGGATGTCATGGTCTTGGACGTTGTGGTTTTGGAGGTTAGGTACTTTGGATGTTGCGTTTCTTGGATGATACGTCTTTGGACGGTGCGGTTTTGGATGTTTCGGTTTTGGACTTTGTGAATGCCCCCTATAAACCCGATTTTGGACGTATTTTGGACGTTGCGTACTTTGGACGCTGCGGTTTTGGATGTTGCGTACTTTGGGTGCTGCGGTTTTGGACGCTTTGATACGGACCCGCCAATCATATTGCACCAGCCGCTGGCGTGACGTCGGCCATGACGTCAGAGAAGGGGCGGAGCGTAGTTGGTTAGCCAGCTGTTTTCACAGGCGGCGGGCGGCGGGCGCGCGATTTTGTTTGTAATCAATCGTTGCCAAGGCCGTATTGGTATAGATGGTTGCAGCGTGATTGATTTTGATTGTTTGATTGATGTGATGCGACGAGTATCATGGATGAGGATCTCTAACTATGCTCCAAAATGCCGAAGATCCGAAAAGTGCCTCGCCAAAATCGATGCCGCTAGACGGGCGTATAAGTTTCAAGTTGATCTTTTAAGCCGTCTGCCGTTCAGAGCGCCGCCGAGTCGGCCTATTTAGACGTCCGATTTCGTTAGAATCCAGAATGATTTTCGGCGAAATGCACAAAACCCGTGCACTGACAGCGTGCACACCTAGCAAACAACACGGAGACGGTCGAGACGCGTCGTTTCATACCACCCACTCTGACCTGCAACATGCGTGTGAGCCGCCAACCGCGTTCGTCAATAAGAGGGGTTTGCTTTATATTACTTGCAGGCTTACGTAAAACCGTTCAATTAGACGCCGGAGCTCATGAGAAAAACTCGCCGCCCCGAGAATCAAACTCGGCTCCTCTAGGTGATATGCGAGAATTATAGCCACTTGGCCACAGGCGCTTGGTGGACGATCGGTCTGATTGACATTCAAACTTTGCGGGCAACTGTGTTTACCAATTATGCTATCGTAAGTATAACTTGGTCCTTCAAGTTATACATATACAAGTTATACAAGTTATACAAGTTATACAAGTTAAGTTATATATAAGTTATTCAAGTTATACAGGGGGCCTTCAGGTGACCAATGAGGCTACAGGGGCCCATCAGGTGATCAGGGGCTCCTCAAGTGACCAGGGCCCCGCAGGTAACCAGGGGGCCTCTCAGGTGACCAGGGGGACCCTCAGATGGCCAGGGCCGCTCAGGTGACCATTGAGGTAACCAGGAGGCCTTTCAAGTGACCAGGTGCCCCTCAAGTGACCAAGGGTCCCCTCAGGTGACCAGGGCCTCTCATATGGCCAGGGGCCCCTCAGGTAACAAGTGGCCCTCAGTTAGGAAGGGGCGCTGTGGGCTTGTCACTGACAGAAACCCTCTTCGATATTTTTACAGTGAAAGACGTTCTGTCTAGTATTGGAATGAGATCCCTGGACCGCTGGGGCTGGGGTTCCGCTGGGGTTCCAGAATCAGAATCATTGATTTTTTGGCCCCTGGAGTCGGAATCGGAAGCGATTCCGCTTGGCTAATACAAAGCTGGAATCGGAATTGGAATCAACTCCACTTTCCCAGTGACTGGTGGAATCGGACTAGAATCAACTCCGCTTGTTCTGAAACGGAATCGGAATCGATTCCAGGTGGCTGGAATCGAGCTCAAGTCTGGCGTTAAGAAGGCCACTCGGTGCGGTATGTTCAGTGTGTCTCAAATGTTCGTTGACACATTTTCCATGTTGATAAAGCAAATAAGAATGAGCCAAAAATATACGGCTTTGATGCATATGTGCACACATGACAAATACCTATGCGTGCTTTGACAACGAATTCGGAATGTTGGAAACCAAATCCTTTGCTCCAAAAATATTTGCCGATACCGATTTTCGTCACGTCAGCTGCCGGAGGCTGATAAAAGGTGACCTGCTTTCAAACTTTTGCAGGGAAATCCACTGTAGTTTCTGCGTCGGATTTAGGTTTGACGAGCTCCCCGGCCACATTTGCTTCTCCCTGAAAGCCGACAGCTTGCATTGACAGTTGACACCATTCATGAGTATTTTGTAGGCATTCTCTGGCGCCAACTCCTTCACATAGACTGGCGCCGACATCCAAAGCACCATTTTTCTTTTGCAAAACGACCCCATTCCTGAACAAACGGGAAATGCCAGGGGTAAATTTTTCACATAATATCATAGCCGAATGTGTAGGCCATCTGTTTCTGAGACACACCGTTCAAATTTTGCAAATTCCAAACGCTGGACATTCCTCATGCCAAAACATTCGCTGGGTTGCGGAGAGTTTTCCTTAAGACAGCTTCTGCTTTGTAAACGGCTGAAGCCCGTCTATCACGTGGTCTTGTCGGAATTTTGTGTCTGAAAGAAAGCTATTCGCTCCAGATCTACCTCTTGAAACTTCCTAGGATCAAATTTTACACTTATTTACCATGGGGGGGGGGGCAATTGCCCTTGACTTTGACAATTTTTGTTATATTATAAAAAGTAACATTTTAGATATAATGAAGAATTTTAACGATGTTTTGTCTTTATTGTACGATGATCTACTATTTTTGAAACTGGGTACCCTTTATTTATGAGCTTCTTGCCAGTTTTCAATAGTTTTGGCCGCATTTGTAGCTGCTTTCTGGCATACGAGTCTGCTCTTGTACGAGGGAGGGTCGTTCAAAACGCTGTTATATAGTCTCGTATGGTTTCGTCCTTCAAAATTTTTAATCACCATTTTTTTTAATGATCATCATGTTGTACCCATGTACCCATTTTTATGCCAGTTTCATGGTCAGAGGTGAACCCTTTTTCTGAGCTCATGAAGGGTCGAACGCATTTGAAAACAATGACACTGTTTGAGGACGGTTGTTAGCAATGCCCCTGCAAAATTTCGACATTGAATTTCCTTTTGATTCAGAATAATTGACGAAAAAGCATGGTTGGTAGGTGTCAACGAACTTTTGAGTTACCATCCCTGTATGAGACGGTTGCGCGCAGAGAGCGTCTACTGATGCACGTCTTGGCTGGCCGGCAGGTGTTCTTCTCCTCGGCCAAAGGTGGCTCCGCCTGCCAGATCTACTTCATGACACTGAACAAGCCCGGTATGGCCAACTGGTGAGATGGTGTCGAGACGCCAGAGCCCGGGGGTGGCGGCGCACCCGTCACCGGCGGAGACCACCGGGCCCTAGCCGACGCCAGTGCCGCAGGTGCCGGCTGCTCTGGGCAGATGACCGCGGCGTGAGCGGCTGAGAGCGTGCCGTGCGCACCAGCACACCGAGCTGTTAAAAGTACCATGTGAGCGCTAGCAGTGCCGGTTTAGCGGCAGTGTCGGCGCTGCCGTGCCCGCGGCTTCTCTGTGCCACCGTCTGTGAGGGCATCATGGGCGAAGCTCTAGCGACGCTGAATCCCGCTGCACGTACATTAGTCATAGGCTGTATTTGTGCGGCATTGGGTCTAACGGACCTGTCTAAGCCGCTCGGCTACGACTCACTCTAGTTCACTCTACGCAACCCATCGTGTCATTCTGCGACTCTCTCTCTCTCTCTCTCTCTCTCTCTCTCTCTCTCTCTCTCTCTCTCTCTCTCTCTCTCTCTCTCTCTCTCTCTCTCTCTCTCTCTCTCTCTCTCTCTCTCTCTCTCTCTCTCTCTCTCTCTCTCTCTCTCTCTCTCTCTCTCTCTCTCTCTCTCTCTCTCTCTCTCTCTCTCTCTCTCTCTCTCTCTCTCTCTCTCTCTCTCTCTCTCTCTCTCTCTCTCTCTCTCTCTCTCTCTCTCTCTCTCTCTCTCTCTCTCTCTCTCTCTCTCTCTCTCTCTCTCTCTCTCTCTCTCTCTCTCTCTCTCTCTCTCTCTCTCTCTCTCTCTCTCTCTCTCTCTCTCTCTCTCTCTCTCTCTCTCTCTCTCTCTCTCTCTCTCTCTCTCTCTCTCTCTCTCTCTCTCTCTCTCTCTCTCTCTCTCTCTCTCTCTCTCTCTCTCTCTCTCTCTCTCTCTCTCTCTCTCTCTCTCTCTCTCTCTCTCTCTCTCTCTCTCTCTCTCTCTCTCTCTCTCTCTCTCTCTCTCTCGTTGTTTACCGCGCGTATCGCCGTCTTGTCGGGATGTGGCTCGGCCACCACTCTGGCGTTTCGTTTTTGTATAGTGCATTCTGCTTTACTGTGTGCACTGCACGGGCCTGATGTGGCGCCAGTGCGCGGCGGTGGCCGGCACGGCGTGTCTTCCCGTGTGCCGCTAAGACGCGTGTCGACTGCTCCGCTATACACCGCCGGCCCACCACAGTAGTCCACCGCTAGCCCCGGACACCAGGCGCCCCCCTGTGTGTGCGTGTGCGTGTATGTGTGTGCGTGTGTGCGTGTGTATGTGCGTGTGTGTGCGCGTGCGTGTGTACGTGTGCGTGTGCGTGTGTATGTGTGCGTGTGTGCGTGTGGGTGGGTGGGTGTGCGTGTGTGTGTGTGTGCGTGTGTGCGTTGCGTGCGTGCGTGTCCGCTTTTATACCGGGTCGTGCTCACTCGGCCTGTTTTGCCGTGAGCGATTATCGCAATGCTTTTATTTCCGAAACTGTGTTTGATGACGTCATTATCCCATAGTTTTCGTATCTCTTGCCTAACTGTAAATATGGGAAAATGTAAGAAAATACAACAACATGAAGCGGGCTGACGTAGTAGTGAGCAGTGGCGGATCCAGGGGGGGTCACATGGGTTACGACCCCCCACCCCACCCCCCACCCCTTGGGGGGACCACAGGCCTAACAGATGATCATCTTCTCTCTTTAGACTCTGCTGCAATAGCGTTATTTACACGGAAATCCACGTGCAAGCAATGTACAGTAGGTTTACTAAAAAGTCCCCCGCTCCAGAGGCGGCCGGCCGGTCGAACCCCCGGATTCCAGCCCCGACTCTATTGCCCAGGCCGCGGCAGTGACACGGGTCAGGTCGCGGCGCCCGGCGAGTGGGTCAGTTGGCGGCGGCCGGCCGTGGAGTGAGGACGCCGCGTGTGGGGCGCAGAGATGCCGCAGTGCAGAGGAGGGGGAGATAGTGACTCTGCACGATGCCAGAAATGATGCCTTTGTGATCTAAATTAAACACCTGCAGTGCATATCCTCCCTTGCCCCATTCCTATTTTATCATAATCCTTCAATAATCCGTAATGACCATTCAACGCAAGCAAGCAAACAAAACAACCCGTTTAGCGGCGACATTATCTCGGATAAAAAAGCGACAGTGATGATAAAAATAGACTAAGCGCGAGGGCAAATCGAGGGGTATATATGTATCACATACTGAGTGTCGCGAATCGACATCTGCGAAAGATCAAGCGAATTGTTTCGATTATTTACGAATAAAATAACGAACTATAAATTATCGAATCTAGCCGATCCAAACAAAATGTATTGTTTTACTGAGCTGTTACGAATCGAATTCAAAAAACATTTTACATCGTTATCGAGGTCACATTTAATTTACATCATCACGCGCCGTCATTCTCCGGGAGCCATCGAATCGGCGACATCCTCCCCCCTCGAGACGAGCACGCGCGGCTGTAAAACACCCCATGACCAATATAGGTCATTACACATGAGGGAAAACACACATATTCCGTCCAATCCAATCGATATTCGTCGATATCTGCCACCTTCAGCGAATGTGGTATCATGCTTGTGCATTAGGCTGCCTTCTCCAGAGGGCATATCTTCACCACCGGTCTGACGTACGTGCCAGTTCGCGTCTTCAGCTCCACTGACCGCACTCGCCCGTCAGAGCCGGGGTAAACCTTCGTCACCCGAGCAATCGGCCACCGACCGCGAAGGGCGTTGTTGTCAGCCACGATAACTACATCGTCCACCTGGAGCTGCCGGGTGTCTCTCGTCCACTTTTCCCTCTTCATCAGTGTCGGGACATACTCCTTGGACCAGCGTCTCCAGAAGTGCTCGGCTATCTGCTGAGCATGTCTCCAGCGTCGCCTGGTTGTCAGGTCCTCTTCTGAGAACGCCCCTGGAGGCAGGTTAGGGAACTCTCGACCGAGGAGAAGGTGATTTGGTGTCAGAGCCTGCGGGTCTCCAGCGGTTGAACTGACGTAGGTCAGTGGACGGTTGTTCAGCATGTGCTTCACTTCGGCCAGAACCGTAGCCAGCACCTCATCCGTCACAAGCCGGTCGCCGATGACAACCCGCAGGGCCTTTTTTGCCGAGGCCACCAGTCGCTCCCAGCAGCCGCCCATGTGCGGTCCGCCAGGTGGGTTGTAGCGCCACCTGATGTTCTGCTGAGTCAGGGAGTCGCTGATCTGCATCTCGTTCCACTTCTGCAGTGATTCACGAAGCTCCCGTTCACCCCTCTTGAAGCTCTTCCAGTTGTCGCAGTGGATCTGGGAAGGACGACCACGGCGAGCCATGAATTGTCGGAGAGCCATAAGAAAGCTATCCGTGTCGAGAGAGGATGTCACCTCTAGATGTACCGCCCGTGTAGACAGGCAGGTCACGAGAAGGATAAACCTTCGCTCAGAACTTCGACGCACTCTCACGTGGACAGGCCCGAAGAAATCCAGCCCGATGGAGGTGAAGGCGTGCCTGCTGTCGAATCTTGCCTCCGGCAAATCGGCCATGAGCGGAGGCTGGGGTTTGGCTCGCCGTCTCTTACAGACCGCACAGGAATGTAGGTAAGATTTGACAGCTGACCTCGCCTTCGGAATCCAGTAGAACTGCCTTAGCTCATTCAGAGTGTGCTCCGTTCCTGCATGGAACGCTTTACGATGCTCAGACGTTACGATGAGCCGAGTAACGTCGTGATTTCTCGGCAGGATGACGGGGTGCTTCGAAGACGACGACAGGCGGCTCTTCTCTAGTCTTCCTCCCACGCGGATGAGCCCATCTCTGTCGATGGCTGGAGTCAGCTCCACGAGTGAGCTGGCGGTAGGGAGCAGCTTGCCACGAGACAGAGCTGCCAGCTCCTCAGGAAAGGCCTCCTGTTGGGACCTCAGAACGATCCGAGTTTCAGCGTCGATCAGCTCTTCAGCGGTCAGTGGCCCACTCCGTAACAAGCTGTGATGACGCGTGCCGTGTTTTGCGATGAAGTTACCGGTGAATCGAATCACCCACGCAGTGACACGCTTGTATTTGATCCAGGAGGAGTAGCGAGCTGGATCGACCAGGGGCCCTGGAGAGTCCGTTTTACTCAGAGCCGCCACCGTCTTCACTTCTGGGTCGGTTTCGTCAGAAACCTGCACGAGGGGAGCAGCAGGCCAGTTTCCTTCTGGCTTCTTCAAGAAGTCCGGGCCTTGCAACCAGCGGCTGTCAATGGTGAGCTCCGACATCGGCAGGCCTCTCGAGCAGTCATCCGCCGGGTTTAATGAGCCCGGAACATGGCGCCATTGGCTGGGGGTCGTGCTGTCTCTGATCTCCGCGACTCTGTTCGCTACGAAGGTTTGAAAACGGCGACTGTCATTGTTGATGTAGCCCAGTATTACCTGGCTGTCTGTCCAGAAATAGGTCTCGTCGACTGGTACGGACAGGGCCGTTTCAATGCTCTTGGCCAGTCTCGTAGCGAGGACCGCTCCCTGCAGCTCTAACCGAACGACTGTCAGATTTCTCAGCGGAGCGACCCGAGTGCGACTCATTACCAGAGCACAACTGACAGCGCCAGTCGAAGCAACTTGCCTCAGATAGCCAGCGGCTCCAAAGGCGGCCTCGGATGCATCGCAAAAGATATGCAGCTCTCGGCGAATGACATCTGCGACAGCTGCTGCCGTATAGCAACGAGGGATCTTCAGGCCAGAGAGCAGAGTGGCGCTATGCTGCCAATATCGCCAGCGATATAGGTCGTCATCGGTCAGTGTCGCGTCCCAAGGGAGCTGTTTTCTCCACAGGTCTTGCATCAGAAGTTTTGCCTGCAGAGTGAAAGGTGCGACTAAACCCAGCGGATCGAATGTCGATGCTATGGATGATAGCACACTCCGCTTCGTTGTCGAGATCGTCTGCTTCTCTGGCGGTTGAACACTGACTGTGTCTCTTTCAGTGTCCCAGAGTAGACCGAGGACACGCCCAGGATGCAGCGGTGTCGAGAGGTCCGCGTCAGGATGCGCTCTATCCGCCGCTGGGACCGACGCGAGAACTTCCCTAGAATTGCTCATCCATTTGCGGAGCTGAAAGCCTCCGCTGGCAGCCAGCGAAGTGACGGTGTGCAGAAGACGTTTGGCTGACTCGGGCGACTCTTCTGAGGCGATATAGTCGTCCATATAGAACTGTTTTGACAGCCGATCCGCTGTCCAGGGATGCACGCCATCTACGTCATTCATCATGGCTTTCTGCAGGGCGTGACTGGCGATAGCTGGAGAACATTTGGCGCCGAAGATTGCCCTTGTCATCTCGTAAGTATCTGGTGGCCTATCGCGCTCCAGATCTCTCCACAGAAAACTGAGAGCCGGTCGATCTTGCTTCTGGATTTTCACCTGCAGAAACATCTGATCGATGTCACCAGCGATCGCGATGAGCTTCTCGCGGAATCGGATTAAGATGCCGGGGAGCTCCTGCAGCAGATCCGGACCAGTGAGCAGTTCGTTATTCAGCGACGTACCCTTGAACTCCGCCGCTGCGTCGAACACCATGCGAATTTTGCCAGGTTTGCTGGGGTTAGAAACCGT